GGCTGCCTTTTTAAATTTTCTGTTTAGCTCTTTGATTTCTTCGTTTCTTCCTTTAGCTTTGGCTTCTCGGCGCTCTAGTGCAATATTCAGAGTCTCATCTGACATCCATCTTGGTCTTTCCTTCTTTTTTCAGCCGTGTTCTTTTTAGATTACTTTCAAATGTATTGTCTCACTGTCACTGTACAGTATAAGTAGTAGGCAGGGCAAGTATTTAACTAGCTCCATTTTATACGTGAAGAAAATTGAAACCAAAAGGTTAATTGACTTGCCCTCAAACATAAAACTTATTCTTAAAAAATCACAAACACAGTAGGGTTTTTTGTTCTTAATCCAATTTCCTTACATCTGGTGGTATGTTTTTGTTTTCCCTTATATTAATATAGAGAGCGCTGGTGAGGTAGTCCCTACACCGTTTGCACCACTAACCCCAAGGCCACACCTTTCTAGAGGTTGAATCTACTAGCTGCTCCCTGAGAGAGATGAACAGTCTCGTCCCGTGGGATTTACGACCTTGTAAACCCATTGGAGGCTCTGCCATGAGTTGGTTCCAACACAGCAGTTATGAGTGTATGTTAATACAGAATGAGGGTTAGATCTGTTACTTTCATGTTGATTTTTATATTATGGAGTATTTGATTTCTGTGAGAAAGAAAATGATACATGTATAGGAAATAATCTAACTATACTCTAGCATAACTCTTTTAAAAAAGAATAACAATTTCTGAAATGTTACTACTATTGTTCTGGTTGCTTTCTTCTTACTTGGAGAATCTTCTTATCACATTACTATCTCTTGTATCACACAGTGCGCAGTAGAGGTTTGTATCTTAGAAGTGCGCCTGTAATTTGAAATGTTTTCCTTCCTTTGCTCTTTCGTTTTTCCCCCTTGCCTCCCTTTCTTCTTTCCTTAACACTGTTTTCATTTCACAAAGCTCCTGTGGAGGCCATATGGTCACTGAGATTTAATTTCACTTTGGGTGGCCTTTAATTTGGTTGTTACCCACTCATAATTAATTTGTTTGTCGTCCATTGAGGAAATTCTCAGGTGCCACGTTTATGCTTTTTTAGTTATTACCTACAGTTAAAATTGATTCAGTTTTTCTAAAATGAGTCACATTCCTTCATTTTATAAAACAGTGATGATTTATTAATTTTCAACTCTTTAATTCTTTCACAGATTATTTATGTAATCAAATTATGAGCTAAATGTAATAAATAATATGGAATTAAAAATAGCATAAAAATGTCTATGTTTGAAAGCTGGCTTAGCAATTTACCTGTGCATCATTCCATTGTTGAAGCTCTCTTTCCATATTTGCAATATGAAAATTAAGAACTTATGTGTAAATTAAAAAAATGTCAGTTTTTCAAGTATATACATAACATAGAGTGTCAGTGGCTCATATCCTATTTAGAGATGTCTAAGTAGGTTAATTTTTTTATATTCTAAGAAAAATGCATATAAAAATCCCTTATATGTGAGAGTAGAGTTATAAGATAAATTCCTAGCTGTGGATCCCATTTTGTATTCCACAGTTAGTGTTTTATCAGGATAATCATCCATGAAAGTATGTGATGGTTGCTTTTCTCAAGTACCTTTGTCAGAACAGTGTACTCTCAGGCTTCCTAGTTCTACAATAAAATTTGATTTCCAATATTGTAATTTCTCAGATATTTTATTTCAGTGATTGTTTCTAAAATGTGTTTATGTTGCATAATTTTTTTGCCTTGTAGAATTACATGGTGGTGAGATATAAATATACTACATATATATATATATATATATGTATTAGCTCTTAGTAGATAGGTTAATACTGAAATAATTACATAATTTGGGAAAGGTATGTGGTCTTTTAAGCCATTCATTGTGAAAGACTTTAAGTATTACAGTTTTCAGCAATTTCACAGAGTATGCCACCAAGAATTTTCCTCAATACATTTTTATACCAACTTTTTTCTGATTTTACTGTGAGCCATGCCAGAAACACCATTAATGTGTGATTAGAATTTAAAATGCAAGACCTTTAGATAACATCTGTTTTTCTTTATTATAATAGGTTGTTTTGGATGTCGGTTGTGGAACTGGAATTCTCTCTATGTTTGCTGCTAAATCTGGTGCAAAGAAGGTTCTTGGAGTTGATCAATCTGAAATACTTTACCAGGCAATGGATATCATAAGGTAGATGTCATTTAAGGCTTGACTTGAGATTATTTGCAGAGTTGGTAGTTGTTTAATATGGTTTCTTGTCTCTAATAGCTATTTACTGCAAACTGAAGACGCCAGTTGGGCTCAGTTTTTTCATGATACCAATTGATAAGAACAATTTTCTTACTTTTCAGTTAAGGGTAAAAATGCTAATTTTAAGTATAGATCATGCCATTACAATAGACCCAGTCATGACATTCTTTGTTTTCTTGATGTTGAGCTTCAATCCATAATGAAGGCTGTAGTCCTTGACCTTCAGCAGCAAATACCTTAGGTCCTCCTTAGTTTTGGAAAGCAGGACTGTGTCATCTGCATAGCACAGGTTGTTGATGAGTCTTCCTCCAACCCTGCCGCCGCATTTCTCATAGATCAGCTTCCTGGATGATCTGTTCAGCATATAGATTGAAAAGATATGGGGATAGGATACATCTATGACTTATACCTTTCCTGATTTTGAACTTTGCTGTGCTCTGACAAAAGTTGACTCTGACAACTTAGAGTATGTATGACTTTTTAAAAAAATTGTTATTCTTTCTGTAGAAATATAATGACATTACTCAAAGCCACACGTCTTTTAAACTCATTGCTGTTTAGTCAGTTCCAACTCATAGCAACTTTCCATTGGACTTCTAAAGTTGTAAATCTTCACAGGAGGAGATGCCCATCTTCTTCTGAATGGTGGACAGATTAATAGTGCCATCCTTTCTGTTAATAGCCTGATACATTGTGCACTAAGGATAGAATTGCTGCCTGGTCAGTCTCTGTCTCTTTCTAAAGCAAGAACTAAAAGGAAGCTTTCTCAGGAAAAAAGGGAAGTAAATAAATACATCAAGGTGAGGAAGCCTCCTCTTTAGGAATACAGGGGATCCAAACCCCAACCAGTCCCGCAGGTCCTTGAGCAGAGCTGAGCTATAACCAGTTTCACGAGACTGGAAGTTAATAAATAGCGTTGTCCACCTGAGGCTATCCCTCTCTCCTCCTGTCAGCCTGCCAAAAGGTTTGGCTTCACCTCTTATTTTCCAGGGATGTTCCCCCCGCCCCCCCCCACTCTACTTCTTTTCTCTTTAACTCCAATGTCCTATCTTTTCACCAACCATGCATCTTTTGCATCACCTTAATAAACCTGCTATACTACTACCAGGGCTCTTTTCTTTTTTTTTTTTTTTTTTTTTGCTGGCATGCAACTTCTTAATAACAGCAATAATTACAGTACTAAAAATTATAAATATACTTTCAGCCTGGAGTTTTTTGTTGTGTTTTTTTGTTTGTTTGTTTTTTAAATTTTATTCTTTTTGTGTGAGTGTACGCCAAATCAGATCTCACTGGTACAGGAGGAGATTGTCCCTCCTTCCCCGGCAGAGCATCTGGCGGATTCGAACCGTGCACCTCTGGGATTGTAGTTGCAGCTCCTTACCACTAGGCCACCAGAGCTCCCCTCAGCTTGGAGTTTTTGAGTAGTGTAAATGGTTTAACAGTACCGAAAGATTGCAAGTTCAAATCTATTCAGAGGAACTTCAGAGGATAGTCCTTAAAACTCACTTCTGAAAAGTCAAAACTGTGAAAGAAAATGCAATCCTATGGAGCATTCCTCCTCGGCATATCTGGGCAGTGAGTCAGAATTAAATTGATGAGTCACAACAACATTTTCAGATTGCTGTCAGTGCCTCAAATTATGCTTTACATTTAGGTGGTTTTGTTTATAAAATGATCATCTTTTGCACATATCAAAATATAAGGATGTTGTTTTCCTTTTTGGTATCCATTCCTTTTCACAGTTATCATCTCTCACACACACACACACACACACACACACCCCCATAAAGCTTCACGTTTTAGCTGGTTTTACTCTTGATTTACTCTTCTCTCATCAGCTGCACTCTCTCTTTTTCCTGTACTAGTCTGTTACTGCTCTTGGGGCTTTTAGAACTATCATTGCCCAGTAACCCCAATTCTTCTCATCAGAAACTGAATTTTCTTCATAGACTGTATCTTTAGCCTCTCTGAGACTTCTTGGTCAGAAATTTGCTATATACATTAAAATTTCTTCTCTAAAACATGTTTCAGAGGCATTTTAAAGTCTAAAAGATGACTATGTTTTAAAAAGTATGTTCCATTATTTTAAATATACTCAATTTTTAATCTCTCAGTTGTGTTTAACATAAAGATAATTTTTTTTAAAAAGCTGTTTAAAAAGAGAGATCTTACATTTCTGATTAAATGAATAGAACAGGCACATTCTGATTGTTAAAATGAATTTACAGATGTGTATATAAAATTGACATGGCCATATGAACTATGGTGGTAGTTGTTACTGTGTAATATTGGGTTGGAACAGACCCATGGCTTACCCTTCAGCAGGTTTTCAGAGGCAGTTAATTGGATGGGAGGAGATTACCCATCCTTTTCCTGTAGAGCAGTTGATGAATTCAAACCTCATGCCTTTGGGATTGCAGTGCAACTTCTTGTCTCTAGACCACGAGAGCTTGGGTGTAGGAATATAGACCAGCAGGCTCTGGGATCCCAGTCATGAATAAAATGAAATACAGATTTTCAAAGATGTTATATTAACAGAGGCAAATAAAGCTCAAAAAGTGAAATATGAAAAGAATTAACAAAGTGTTTCTTACTGTTCCAATAATAGTTTGAACCATGTAGTAAATGATTATTTCAGAAACCTAAGGATAGCAAAACAATTCAGTTGCCAGACAATTTTATGTTGTGTTAACCCCCAGGAAGCAGAAGTAGCTTCTAGTAATATTTTTACCATCGCCATGGCTGCCTTGGGTTTCTCATTGCCTCAGCTGTGGAATAGCTCATTATTCAGACTTCTGGATGTTACTGCAGATGAGTTTCGTGAGAGGATTGATCTCTCATTCACCCACACTGCAGTACTTTCCATCTCAATAAGACATTAAAGATGCAATCTTTTATATTGCCTTTGTCTAGAATACTGTTAGAAATGAAACATTAAGAAAAGCCTGGAGAATAGGTTGATCACATGTCAAGTTTATAGAGAGCACCTAGTAAAGTGTCTGATACTGGTAGAACTTTAGTAAAGGGTTTTGAGCAGAATTAAAATATCTTAAGATAATAATTTTTTTAAAGATAATGATTTGGAGTAAAATCACCAAGTATACCAGCAAAAGTTCTTAAAATAAGGAATATACTTCTTTTTATTTTTTAGCTGAATTTAATAGAAATAACATCAAATTATTAAAATCTGAAGAGGATTTGGGCTGCTGGTGAGGCTAAAATGGCAAAGAAATATTTTGCTGCTCTAAATAATAGGATTGAAGCTCAATACATTTTATAAGAGATCTGAATTGATTTCTTTCCCCAGCCTGCCTCTAAACTCCTTAATCTACTGCCTACTCAGTGGTCTTCTCAGGAGATCCCAGAATCACCGAATACTTGAGTGATTCACTTAAAGAACTCACGTGACATCAAGTTGTATTAATAACTAGGATTTATTACAGCCAGTGAACAACAGGCAAGTGTGATAGAGAGCGAATGCAGATTTTTCAAGGCTCATGCAAGACTCATGTTTGCAGGGCACTTTTCCCCTCAAGCGCAGAACCTCAGAATAACATGTGAAATGTCTACCTAGAGAATTCCACCTGTGTTTTAAGAGTTTCATAGTTCTCAAAAGGAACTGGTCATGTAACCAGGTACCTGCCATGTAACCAGCCTTGGTGCTGACCAAAAACATAGGCAGGAATTGGGTGAAACAGGCTTGCTACATTAACTCTTTTTGCCTTGTCCAAATTGGAAACCTACAAGTTTTCCTTTCCCCTCTTCTTTACCATATTTACTATCTATCTATACACACACACACACACACACACACACACACTCTCTCTCTCTCTCTCTCTCTCTCTCTCTCTCTCTCTTACAGGAGCAGAGTCTTATTAATTTAATATTCAGTTGTTGCCCAGATCTATCCCTCTATTAGGGGAGCTCTGATGGCTTGGTGGGTAAGGAGTTGTGCTGCCAATTCAAAGGCACACAGTTTGAATCCACAACCTGCTATGAGCAAGAAAAATGGGCAGTCTCCTACTGTGAAGTTCACATCCTCTAAAAACCTGTGAAGGGTTAGCTATGAGCTGGTTCCAACTTGATGGCACATCAGCAGCATCCCTTTGCTACCACAAACTTAATACATGTTCTTATGTTTCTCCCCTGAATCAATACATCGGCACGTAATTGGCCTTGCTATTTGTACTTTGCCTTTGCCCTTAATACTGTTCTCCACCATCTGATCTCTATTGTATAAGCAGATTCATTTCCCCACTTTAAAGGGAAAAGAAAATGAAATTGCTTGTACATGGATTGTGAAACACTGAAGAAGATAAACAAGAAATAATGACTTTAAAAGCCTGATGTCCTACAGAAATCTACTAGAAATACAAATTTTATTAGAATATCTGGTCACCAATATTAGGTGGAAATATTTTTCTTGTTTAATGATATGCTTCAAAACACCTGGTGTTAATAGACATTGAATATAAATACTTATTCAGTGAATGAATAAGTGAATCTTCAAGACGTGGGATATCAGATGTTCAGAGACAGGTAAAGCTTCACCAGAGTGTGAAAATTCATTTTCTGTGCTTGAAACATACATTCTTTTCACTGTATTAGAAGCACTTGGAGTCTCCCTCCACTTTGGAAGTTGGCTGGCTGGTTGGCTGACATCTCGGTGGCAGTCTCGTCTTGGTAGCAGCCAGGCAAGGGAAGTTTCTGGGGTCCTATTTGTTGAGCTCTTTTCCCCCCTCAAAAGTGGGTGGCCTTGAGCCTTAGAATAAGGGTAAAAGTGGAAGTTTGCTCAAGGGTGTGACTTTAAAATCCTGTAGAGCCCTCGGGCCAAACATTAATTTTAGAAGAATATTCTTCTAAAAACACAGCAATCATTTGTCTGTTTGCTGTCCTGATCAACTTGAAGTTGCTCTGATGCTGAACACTATTCCATAGTC